ATGGGCAACAAGTACTGTACCGTTGAGTTTGTCAAAGACAAGAAGCAAAAGTGTTCGCCGGAATCGGTCACAGAGTTTTTCAAATGCGATAAAATCACTCAAAAGCCGGGCAATTGTGAGACACCTTCGGGTGACCCCAACTCCATATACGGTAAACATAACCCGAAGACCAGCACCAGTACAACCAAAAGGGCGGAAACAGTGGCTCCGAAGACAACAAAAAGACCACAAAAATCCTTTAAATCAAAAAGTTCTTCACTTTTCGATCACTTTGTTTATCGCCTTTTTCTCAATTCACTCAGTTTTCTATTTATTAAAATATTAATTTAATTATTTGTTTTATGCACTAAATTATAATTAAAAATTATCTTTTATAATAGAAAATAAATTTAATTTATTAAAAAGATAACTAACCGCTCACTTAGTAATTAAACATTTATTTTGTTAAATATTTTTTAACTTAATAATCTATACAGTAATTATTTTATGGATATAAAAATATTTTACACATAGTTATTGTATTGTACTTAATATGCAATTTAGTACATTTAATGATGATAATAAAATTATATTACTAAATGATTCAGATGAAACATTCAGTCGCGGCATTGCTTTAACCCTATCTTATGAATGACAACACATTTGCAAATAATAAAAATATTTATAAATCACTTCTAAGCTCTCCGACGGCGATCTCATTGGCCATCTCTTGGGCGTCAAACTCTGCGATATCTTTTTGGCTCATATGATACACAATCCCAGCGCCGAAAGCTCAAATAATAAAAATATTTATAAATCACTTCTAAGCTCTCCGACGGCGATCTCATTGGCCATCTCTTGGGCGTCAAACTCTGCGATATCTTTTTGGCTCATATGATACACAATCCCAGCGCCGAAAGCGTCGCCCAACACATTGAGAACTGTCCGGAATCTATCGATCAACCAATCAATCACTACAATCAATGCCGCGTCCTATCAGTCAATACAATTCATCATTTAATATGCGTTACATTAAAATCATTATTCATGTGATATTAGAAATGATATGACAAACAATGGCGAGACACTAACCTCAGCGGGCAGTCCCACAGCGTTCAACACAATAACCATTGTTATGAGACCAGCCTTTAAAACATTTGTTAATCAAAAATATACAATATATGGCCATTAATTAGACAGAAATACCTGTGGTATACCAGCGGCGCCAATACTGGCAGCGGTGGCTGTGATGGCAATCACTATAATCTTAACAAAATCCAAGTCCACGTCTCTGTACTGTGCGATATAAATAGCGGCCACCGCTTCGTAAAGAGCGGTTCCGTCCATATTAATGGTGGCACCGATTGGGATACAAAACCTCACTATTCGGCGATCGACGCCTAGATTTTCTTCTAAACACTGAAATGTGATCTGAAATTAAAACAATAATTGTTTTATTATTAAAATACTCTTTACGTTATGTATTAAATGCCAAGACTTGCCGGCATTGTTGCCGTTGAAGAGCCGGTGCCGAAGGCGGTCATCATTGCGGCCGACATTTTCGAGATGAATGTCAACGGATTTTGTCTAGTGCATATTATAAATATGATGGGCAATATAATGGTACCATGGATGAATATACCGACCAAAACGGTTAGGGTATACCTGTCATCATTGCGGCCGACATTTTCGAGATGAATGTCAACGGATTTTGTCTAGTGCATATTATAAATATGATGGGCAATATAATGGTACCATGGATGAATATACCGACCAAAACGGTTAGGGTATACCAGCCAACACTTCCCAACAGTTCGTTCAAGTCTTTCACACTCAATAGTTGTGGCAAAACGAGAAACAAAACGGCTAATGGAGTGAATTGGATGATGATTACAGTGATGCCCATCATTATGTTGTTGAACGCCTTGAAGAAATCGGCCAACACTTGCGCCTCTTTTTTATTTCGGCCAATGATTACACCAAAAACCACACCAAACACAACGAGTCCCAAAATATTCATTGCGTTACTCTTTCCGGAGCTAATCTCCCACTCCTCGATCGGCAAGTCTTCGCCAGTGGTTCCGTTTGGAGGCTTCAATACTGTGGTAAATGATACGAACGCCGCCTCAATCAGGTTATCGGGAAATAGATTCCTGTTTTTAATTTCAAATTTTAATATTTTTGTTAACGAGCAATAAATCAATATGTAATTGGTTACTGAATATAATTTGTTACTTTACCTGATTAAATCCAATATGGTGTCGATTGTAGTAAGCTTGATACTTTCACCCTCTTCAAATTGTTTCTTTTCTCCCTCGCCTTTATTTCCGGGTTGTATTGAAATGACAAGAATTATGCCTAAAATGATGGACAGAAGAGTTGTGGACAAATAGAAAGCGATGGTCCGAAAGCCAATCTTCCCGAAGAGTCGAGTGTCGATATCACTCATAGCGTAGACCAAACTCGTGAATATTAGGGGCAAAACCAAACCCTTAAGCATTCGGAGAAACAATTCGCCAATAAATCCAATGTATTTCACCGACCGTTGATTCCAACCGGGATTTGTTTCCCGAAGAATAATACCCATCACTATCGCCAACACAACCATTATTAGTGTCGAAAGGGCCAGAATATTGTGTTGAAATACTTGCATCACTTTAGCGAAAGTGGTCTTCTTGTGGGCGAATGTGTTAATCAATAGTTTGACGCCAACCGCGAGACCGAAATAGCAGGCAATGATGTGACAAATGAGACTAATGGAGCTGTTGTTAAAGTCAATGCACAGACACGACAGTATCATAATTATGGTCAAAGAGATTGAGTAAACAAATGACGAGAATATCATGAATATTGCATTTATTGGACATTTTATTGCTAGTATTTGAATGACGAGAAAACATAGCGATACCAACATTCGTAAAACCATCAAAACTATTGTCAAATTACTTTTGGACTCCTCTTTGGTGTGATTTTTCTTATAATCCGCTTCTTTGACTAAATGCACGATTGAGTCGGCGATTGTCAGCAAAAGAAATACATTCGACACAAAGCCTACTAAACCGGTGCCCGGTTTGGGGTCCCTCTCGTCCTCACATTTGGCGTCGATCTTCCCGTTGGCCGTCATTTTGTGTCCCAAATCGGCGTTCAATTACTTTATACAATGAAATATTTATTAGTTTTATTTGACACAAACTATTGGTAATCTAATTAACGCTTATAACTAATTATTGATTCATTACAAGTAGAGTACATGTAATGATATGGGCTTTGAAGGTAAATATGACAGTATTTACAAATGTTTATTCATTTGTTCATAACATCACAAATGATTCTTGATTTACGTGTTTGAATATATATTTCTCAAATCATACAGGATTTATAGTCTCATAAATTGCGATAACATTTATATAAACGTAAATTTGTTATAACTTATAACGCTTTTACTAAATTAATATAATATAATTGACTGTCACATAATAAATTAATTTAACACTTAAGCAATTTTAATGATGCATTATAATTCGCATATAATATACAGTGTATACCACATTTAATTGTAAATGAAATTTAATTATTGTATGTACTTATAACTGAATTTTAGTTGTTATCATTGTAATATCTCAGCATTTCAAAACTAATAAATTATTTTATTATTTTTTTTATAATTTTATAAACATTATTTAGAAACTATAATTATCGAAAAATAAACTATGAAATGTTTGAAAATGCACTAAAATAGTACCTAATTTTATATAATTGTGCCCACAAAACTAGCACTTTTGAATTAAAACATGTGTAGTTTATGATTTAAAAACTAAAATATTTATCGATGGATCGGTAGATATTGCGAGAGTTTTCAAATAAATTGTTTATTAATTTTACGACTCTTATCGTAGAAATGATTTGGTTTAGGGCAACGATTTAATACACTTTTATAATGTAATCAATGTTCATATGTTTGCTGTCGTATACTCTTTTACATTACCATTAATTTCTGATAATAATTATAAAAACTAATTAATGCCTTAAACTTTGAGTTCATTGTTTTGTTTGCCAACCAAAGCATTTTAGTTAAATAAATCAAAACATGTTTACCTAATACTGCAATAATAATGCAATAATATTGTTTTGACAATTGTGATCTAGAACATAATTATAATAACTCAAAATTAATCTAAAAGCATAATGTAATATGTTTTGTCTTGTAAATTGTATATAACTTTAATATATAGTTGATTTAATGAACAATTAATGCAATTATACTGATAAATTAAGGACAAATAAATAACTATGGTGTAGTAACTATTTGAGATGTCATATAAAAAAAACTATTTTCCAACACTTCGATAATTATAAATAAAAGACAATTCAATAATACTTTATTGTTGTTTGACTTAAATATGGATTAAAATTATACATTTATGAAACTGAAAACAATGATAAGTTGTACTGCTCTTCAAATTTGATGATTTCTTTATGAAAGTCATAATACCTTTCAGTAAATTTGTAACGAAAAAACACATTCTTATAATTCATATGTATAGATATCATCGGATGTGTCGGGAAGTCTGCGGGGAGTGGGAGAGGGCCGGGGAGTGGGTCGCGGAGAGGGTCGACCAGAACTGGTCATTTCAAGATACGTGGGTTCGGCCGCCGGTATACGCCAATAGTCGTCGTTTGACTGATTTAGGCATTTAGTGGGCATTTCCACGTACTCTCCGTGCTCTGCATAGTAAGCTCCGGCATACCTTACCTCTTCGTCCCCATCGCCGACCACATCATACGTGTCATACATTTTATTGGACGGGAACTCCACGTCGTCGTAGCCCTCGTAGCGCTCACTTTCCGGGCGATTCTGGTTTGCGATCTGTTTAGTGATCCGACTCTTAATCCGTTTGGTGTAAACGTAAAACAAAATTCCTGTCAAACACACGATGAATACGAGCGCAAAGAATAGGATTCCTATGATTAGCCAAACTGTTGGCAAATGAATAACAAATTATAAAAGTTGTATTTTATAAAAACAAAAATCTTTTTGCTATTTGTGTAATAACTATGTTTTCAAACCTGAAAATGTTTTCGATTCATTTGGATCTGAAATTGAATGAATATAACAATTATTACAATTAGTATACAATATTGTAAAATATAAACTTTGTAAAAATCTAAAACATTGCAGACAAATATTTATCAAATTGAGTAACAATAGATATGCACTTTATACATGTAGTTGTATTAGTATTACTTTCTGTTTAATTTAATTATCTAATTTGTCAACCAAATGTATTTGTCGGTAGTATTTCCCGACAAATTCTTAGGTATTTATCGGCAATAGTTTTGTCAGTAAATGTATAACAAACCATAACAATAGGGCTCAGCTCCCATCCAAACACCACTCTTCATACAAAGTCTACTCTCTTTACCGACGAGTATATCATTGCTGGGATTACTGCACCCGTAGTTCACTTCAGAGCCTTCGATAGCATAGTATTCGCTTTCATTGAAGAAATAAAGTTTGTCCAGAGATGTGATCACTGTTTGGTTAAATTGGAGACCCTTTAAGAGGTCGTTAAGTGGACAGGGCTTGAGAGGAATGCAATCGGGATACGAGCCCTTCCACTTCATGTCGGGCTGACACTTCATACTATGGGTTGGGGTTCCGGGCAGATCCGGGTTATATGTGGAAATGTATTTGAATTTATCATTCCTACAAACGATGGAGTAATCCCTGAACTGAACGTTGAATCTGGAGACCTGTCCACTCATAATCTCCGGATCACCGCAAAGGGGTTCGTCTTCTGTGCCGTAAGACTTGCCTAAGAAGACGGCAATGAGTTCGTGATGTAAGGGATGGGACGCCTGAGTCTCTAACACCATATAATTGGGCGGATCCGCGACGTCAAGCCTCGTGTCCTCATGAGAATCGGTGTCACAAATGAAGTCGTTTTCAAGTTTATTACCGCTTTCTCTCCATATGTCTCCGCTCTGATGATTGAGTCGACACTTTCTATAAGGACTCACTTCCATCGATACGTTGAACGAGAAGTTTTCCTTGTCTTTTGGCGACAGTTGTGTGAAGTTTATGAAATTAAAGCTAATCCTAACAAATAGCTTAACGGTGGGAACCGTGAAATTGAAACTCCATTTGTATTTTCTGGTGTCCGTAACCCTAAGTCTGGCTTTTGGGAAACGATTGGATGTGAAAGCGTTGGGATGTTTCCATTTTCTCTCTATGAGTGTCATATTCAAGTACTCGAAGACCAGCACTGGTGGCCCATCCGTGATATCCTCCAGTCTTGAGTCCCTCATTAATATTGTCTTATTCACAAAATCTCCTGAAATCAAAGCAAATTGTATCCAATATTTGTGTCAATATTTTAAATAACAGAATCTTTTTGCAACATTAAATTGTCTAAAGAATATGCTTAACAAACAAAATATAGTAATAGTTTGAGTACCACATCGGGCTTGTTCTCCAGTCCATCGGCCCTTTTCGCACCGTCTAGTCTTAATGAATGACCAGAAGTCGACGCACTGGTAGCTGACCTCTTCTCCCTCATCGTATTGTAGTTTATTGTCGGGTTCCAGTTTAGCCCGATATGGTTTGCCCGGGTAACCACACTTGCCATTCAGGCTTAACTCACATATTGACAAATTAATTGCATTAAATATGATTAAGATTAACAATAAGTGTTTAACTATTTGATGCATATTTAAATACATATGACATATAGAACTACAAACAAAAATCAGATATCAATTCAATTCAGACAAAACAATTTGAAAGGAAATGCTTATAAACGGAAAGTAAAAAAATAGACATTCAGTGCCTCCATGTCCTCAATTAATGGTAATAATTTGAACGACGATTTGAACGTGAAATTCAATTGAAAATCATTGATGTTTCGCATCAATAAACTTTATATAAATGCGTAAAACTTTATATAAAGTTTACACAATATTTTTATTGTCATTTTGACATTTATTTAATCTTTAAATCTATGTCTAAATGTTTCACAAAATACTGTACATGATTTGCGTAAAATTTTTTTAATACTCGATTCAAATACTTTATAATAATAATAATAATTACAGATTTAAACTAAAAATATAAATTTACTATATTGAATTAACTTTAAAGAAAAATATTGCAAATATTAAAATTAAATATTTATTAATTCATGCATTTTCGTGATTATGATTCAGTTGTGGCTTATATTTGGTCTCGACTTCAAAGAATTGAAAACAAGAAATAATGATTATGTTATAGTCTTCACTCTTTTGATCAAACAATTGATAAGAAATTAGTTTTAGTTATTTTTAAACACAAATAGTTTTAA